TCAGAATGATACCTATAACTAAATTTTGTAACACTGCGCATAACTGAATATTTCCTTGTTTTAAACGTGTTGCATATTGAAACAGTATAATAAACAGTCCACCATACCAAAAAACCTGTAATTACTGAAATTTAATAACAAATTATGATTGCACTCTAACTGATCATTGAACTTTTCAAACCTTTCATAAATTACCCTTAAATCAGTCACAAATAATTTATTATTAAATAAACAGGCTTAACGGTGTCTGAATTAAAGAACTGAAGAAACTGATTACTGCAAATGACATTTTTTCAAATATTTTGAAACATCTAATTTGATGTCGCAGTTAAAAAAAAAAAAGATAGATAAAATGTGGCTGTTCAATTCAAAAAGATTTTATACGCAAATTTTGTTTGTTTAAATTTTTTCTTTTTTTGTTTCGTTAAGCATAAATGACTGTAAATAGAACTAACATTTAGTATAAGATGTGGCAGCATCAAATTTGGTTTGTTGCAAAAAGTACCGCATAACATGGAGAAAATTGTGAAAAACTGTATAAAAATGAGCACCATCTGAACAATCATTAAGAGTGATAGAAACGACAGCTCAGAGATGTACAGCTCATATAATTGATATGAGGTAAAAAGTAAAGATGTTATAGCGTATAATAGCAGCAACACCTGAAAACATTAATTTATATATTTTTTCATTCCTCAGGAATATCTGTCAACATTCAACAGGTATTTTTAAAAAGAAAAAAATAATTTATTAACTTAAAACATATTTGCAATTAGATTTTAAATAAATTTATAACCTGACATCTAAGACTGCTAAAACAATTGACAGTTTTCAAATGTTATTCTAATATTTTAGCATCAAATTTCTACGAAAACACTGTTATCAAATTAGTCTTCTTGGCGTCGCAAAAAAAAAGTTCCTCATCATCAAATTCGCTCATACAGAGGCAAACTCTTCTGATAATAAACCATTATTAAAAAGCCACTGCAGAAGGTACAAAGAAGAAAAATTTGACGATAAAAAATCAAACAATTCTGATCCACAATCTTTTTTTTTTTTTTTTTT